TAAAATAACGCAAGATTTCCTTTTCCATTCTTAATTTATTTAATATAAAATATAAAATACCAAAGTTTATCAAATAATCAATGTTATATGACCGTGCTAAGGTAGATTCTGGATATCCTTTATTCACCATACGCACCGTTCCAGCAACATGGTCATGTCGACGCAAAAATTATTTGTAACCACCTCCATTAAACATGTTTTTGAGTATACTTCACATAGATGATGATTTTGGGAGTATTTCTTTTGTAGAATTCATCTATTTCATATCAAGAACAATAATTTTTTATTGTAAGTGCAATTACCATCTTATTATTATATGCCCTTATTAAACAACAAAATATTGTATTTGTACGGTTTAAAATCTAAATAGTGTATTTATCCTTTCTAACCTTTTAAAATATCATATTTGCCCAAACCATTTTTTTAAACATATTTTAACAATTTTTAATCAACTGTTATGTCTAAAATCATTATAATTTAAACAGAAAAAATAAATTTACCATATTACCCCTAAAGATTAAAACCGTTCTCTCTCTTTAACCTTCTAGGGTTTAGAAGCGTACGTATCCTGTGATGGTTACAGTCGATCGATCTTTGAAGAGACAATTTGTATCTAGTCGTCTTTGTATATAATAATATAATCTAGTCTAGGTGCTAAATATATGTATGGCTCATACGTGGTATAGCCATCTTGTATTGGCACTATACTGAAATCTGTATCATGTGATAAAACATTAATTATCTGTCATATCCCTAAATTCTTTTTATTATAGACTATAATTCTAGAAGTTGATGGGTATATAGGATAACTTTTATCAAGTCAAGTAGACACAGGAAACATTGCATCTGAACCATTATCGAAATCTCTCCAAATGGAACATGTTTCCACTCAAGGCTCATCGATTAGTATAGGCCCACTGAAGCCATAATTACATTCAAAGTGGAAAGATACAACATGTATCATTTTCATATAATCTCTAATTTCTTTATTTATCAATTCCAAACAAACGTGTAGTTCATATGGATGCTTATGAATCCACCTCGTGTGTCACCGCATTCGCTATTAATAATAAATAAATGCAGCTATTAACAATAAATAAATGCAGGTAGAATCCAAGCCTAATGGTTGATCAATTTTATGCTAAGAAGGGGTTTAATATTCAAGGGTAATATGGTCAGTTTATTTTTTCTATTTAAACTATAATGATTCTTAAATATAATAATCAATTGTAAATTGTTAAAAAGTTTTTTCTTTTGGGCAAATACGGTATTTTAAAAGTTGGAAAGGGTATATAAGATATTTAGATTTTTAGTTGGGTAAATATGATATTTTGTTATTTAATAGGGACATATACGAAATTCACCATTTTATTATTTATGGTTGTTTGATAGTTGTTTATTGATTCAGAGATATTGGTCTGACTAAATCAAATGCCTAAATGGGTCTGAGGTCCGAGCGAGTCTGTCTCTCAATCAAATCATTTTGTTTGATTATGCATTTGACAGGTTATGCTGAATGATGAAAATGATCGTATTACTATTTTGTTCTATTTTGTGTTGGATATAATACATTTGTTTGATAAATTTTATTCAAATAAATATGAAAATTTTAATAAAAAAATATTCATATTGTAATAACTTACACCCTGTTCTCGAGTTTTAAAATTCTTGAGTTTTAAAATTAAAAGAAGGAAAAGAAATGGAAGGAAATGCAAAGAAAATGAAGGGGAAAACATTTAATTAACTGTGTTCTCGATTTGGAAGGAAGGGAAGAAAAAGAAAAGAAAACCATGTTTTCAAGTTGGAAAGAAAGGAAAGAAAAATATCGTTTTTACCTTTTTGCCCTTCATTAATTAATATATTAAAAAAAATCAATTACCATCTATAAAATTACTAACAACTTTTTTTTGTAAATATAAATTTTTATGAAATCTAATATCAATATAATAAAATCTAAATACTAAAATGATTTTATAAGCAAAACAATGCTCCAAAACCAATTACCAATAATACAAAACATTAAATCAACATATTAATTTCATTGTTCGGATACGACAAATATTCAATCGACTCGACTGATATGATAGATGGAATGGTAGCTTGTTTTATGATTTAGTTAGGACTTTGTCTCCCTTTCGTGATCTTCCGCCCTCCGGTTGGGGAAGGTTCGAAAAGCCCTCACTCCCCTTTTTTCAAAAAGAAGCCCCGCTCAACAAGGAGCCCTCTCTGATAAGGAAGAAAACGAAAGAATCTCAATTTTACGACAAATCTGGTCCGACGGACGACTGCCCGTAGGGGGTTTACTGCACAAGGCCCCTGCAGAGGAAAAGCTTGATCCCAACGAATATAAGATGCTCAGCTCCGCACAACAGGAGCACAACATAGGGATTAGCACGCTTTCGGGAAGAACATAGAATAGTAGAGGATCCAGCATGCGGAACATGGTGATCATTAATTTTGAGTTGGTCATAGGTTGACAGTTTTTGAGGCTCACTTTTCGGGTCAGAACTATTGGAAGACGAAAGATAACTTATTTAGACGAATAGTGTGTCGATGCCATTACCCCCAAAAAGCCTACATTATCCACATTTCATTTACTATTGTCAATCTTATTTGTTCATCATACACGTCCCTTGAAGCATGGTGTTCTCGTTCTTGTGTAGCATTTGACACTCATGTGCCACTTCTTCTTCAAAATCTATATCATGATCTTCCTCTAGCAAAAAATTATGAGAATACAACATGTCAAAAATATTTAGGATTGGGTTTCACAGAGTAAAATGGCTCAGTTCTGCTTATAATTATAGGAAATCATCTCTTCAAGATATCAAAGGCTTGTTCAATAGAGTTCTGTAATGATGCGTGGCGAAGGTTAAACAATTCACCGGGATTCTGAGGTGCATGAGTCGCATACTCCTTCAAGTGATATCTAACGCCTTTGTAAGGAGGTATGAGTGTGTGTTTAAGGGGAAGACCTCCATCAACTAAATAAAACTTACCTATAAACAAGAAACTTTAGTGTCATACCAAATTAATTTTAATAAAACCAACTTTTGTGAACAAATTACCATATGTAATGATTAGTTTATCTTCTCTAGTTAGTGCATCTTTCAGTACTCTTGAATCGGGTGATGTACCTTCCCATTCACTCAATATATATGTGAACTTAAAATTGAAAGTATAAGCAACAAATTCATTTATGGTTGGATACCTTTTACGACCATAATATCTAGGGGCATCTTTACTTGGCACTTTGACAATAACATGTGTTCCATCAATTTCCCCTACATAGTCCTTAAAAAACGTATAAAATCTCCTTTTTGCTTGAATTTATTTCTGAACGGTATCACCAGTAGGTTGAATAATATATTGGTCTTCTATTGATATAATTGGATTCAAAACTCTATGAAAATGTCTACTTGTGGTTGATCTAGATCAACGATAAAGCCATGTGTAGCACTTATATCTTAAGGTATGTTCTTTTTTA